GTCACCGACACCGGCACCCAGGACGGGTAGTGGGGCTTGATGATGCACTGCAGGTCGAAGGACTCGTTGTAGGTGACACCTGGGGTGCGGGAGATGGCGGTGACGGCAAACCCGGCCTCTGTGGGAAGAGAGGAGAGGGATTTGAGACACACCTGCCTGAGGGGGCCCTGCTGTCAGCATGCAAAAGCCAGCATGGTCATCCAGCGGTGTGATCAGCCACTGGAGTTGTGTCAGCTTCTCATTTGCTATGACCAAGTGAGGTGAAAAGCAGAGGCAAAAACACACAAGTGGTGACGGCCTGAGCAGCAGTGACAGCCTGAGTGAGCACGGGCTGCAGCCATAGCAGGATTGCCCTTGATTTCTGCCCAGAGGAGTGTGATCCCCTGAGACACAGCCTCTGCAGGCTGCCAAACCCTGTATGGAAATGCAGCAGCACCATGGCAAGGGAGAGCACCTTATGGCAGAGTAGCTACTCAGCAGCAGCCCCCTGTGATTCACATCCACCTCTTGGGCAGGGGGTCCAACTCTGTCCCCCTACCCAGGTCTGCATCTGGCTGCTGCAGCTGGAGGAAGAATGAGGAAAGCAAGATGTAGCAGCCTTCAAAACATGCATTGTAGACGTGCCAATGGTTACAAAACCCCAGGATGGAGGCAAACTGAAAGAAAAGCTGGTTGCTCCTGCTCTTCACACAGCACAGCTTTTGCTCTCTTCCAGATCACAACTCCAGGACAGCTTTATGCCGTTATTCTCCCGTGTCTGCCACTCTGCAAGCTGGTCAATACACTTTGACTTGTTTAGCCCCAGCACTCTGTTTGCTTAGAGGAGTTGAAATTAGCAGTCTGTTAGTAATTAAAAAGTAACATTTTCCAGTTAGCCAGTCAGGCATACATATTCAGGCAGAGTATTTCCACCACTCATTTGCACCAAGCTGCAGAGAGAAACATGTTCTTCTCTTCCAATCACTTCAGTGTGGCCAGCAGACTCAGCAGGGACTGTGTTTTCTTCTGCCAATGTCCCCAAGAAGCACTCCCCTCCTCAGAGGCTCCATGGGGCGTCCCACATGGGCTGATAGTTCCCCTCTCCCTGCAGTGCTGACCACCCCAGCTCTCAGCAGAGCTGCCACTGCTGGAGGAGACCCCACACAGTGCACAGTGAAAAAAGGAACATCTTCTGGATCAGCATGGAGCTTCAGCATGCCACTGGCTCCAAAAGATGAGCCAGGAGCTCCCTGCTGCTGCAGGCAGACCGGGCACAGCATGGAGCCCACCAAATCTGCTCGCTTCCAGCAACCCCACGGCGTCACCGTGCCAGAGCTCCAGGACGTGTAATTACTGAGAAAACAGGTCAATCTTCGGGATTAAAGCCTCTCACAGCACGTTCAGTGATTACCCAGGAGGGCAGTGAGAGACCCAGGCTGCCTCCCCTGCAGAGCTGTTGTGTCTCAGCCCCACATAAGCCCTCACCTTCAGACTCCATTGCAGCCCTGCTGCCCCAGTAAATGTGTAAGCAGGCCCAGCTCAGAGAAACCCTGAGCCAGAGAAGGCCCTGGAAAGCCAACTTAATTTCTCCAAGACCAGGTGACTTCATCAAGTTTACTCTCCAGCTGGCCTGGGCAAGGAAGCTTCATGAAGTCATGCAGAAGCCAGGTGTGTTTCTCAGGTCTTCAACTCCATCAACATCATCATGGCACTTAAATTAACAAACAAAAGCCCTTCTTCTTTTGGGACTTGGAACAAAAAGCATAAAAGTGGATTGATTTTCTGTAAAACCTCCCTACAAAAATACATCACTCCCTCAAACCCCTCCCCTTCTGTGGCCAGACTGGGACTTAAGTCTGTGCCACACACTCAAGAGCCTCAGAAGTTCAGGAACATCTGGTCTCTTCGGCCAGCACATCTCTCTCTTCTGGCTGTTGCTTCTGAACCACCGTGTGGTTAGATTTGTGGGCTTGAATATCATCAGTTGAAGACTTTCTTACCCCAGCAGGCTGGCAAACAATGAGACCTTAACTTGAAATCTGAGTGTCACTAAATTTACTGCATTTTTTTTGGAACAGCAGTTTCTGGAGCCATAAACCTCTTATGCTTTTTTCTTAGTACCCTGGATTTGAGTTTCTCAGGACATTTCAAAAACATGAAGCTGAACAAGAAAACCAAAACAGATTCAGCAGCAAAACAATACTCAATAGTTTCTCTACTATATTTTTATGAGGTACTTCAGCTTTGCTAGTTAAAGAGATCTAGGAATTTCTTAAGCCTAGGTAGAACATGCTCAACAGCCAGTGACTGAGGAGCAAAGGAGGTGAAACAACCTTTCCATCACATCTTCTGGAACTGCTGTGCACTTCTGAGCATCTTAAATTTTAACAAGAGAAGTGACACATTTTAAAATTTCAGTGCTCAATCTCAAGACTTTTACAAGTGGCAGAGTAAAGGGAAGGGCTGACACTTGGGACTTGTAGCAGGACAAATGCTGCTGACCTCATGAGGAAGACACCATTGAAATTAGATGAGAATCTTGCTTTAGTTCTTTACAAAAGAACATCCCTACCTGCTTTTGGAAGCTATACAGAAAAGATTTCTAACTCCAGAAAAAAAGCCTCTGAAAGGAGGTCAAGAGTAAAGTAGGGGAAAGGAGGAAAAAAGCAAGATTTTCATCAGAATACAATATGACTTTGAAGTCTGGTCTCACACACATCTTGTCAAAGCTTAAGATTAATGCTTCAGAGTACCAGTAAGAGCCACACAATCCCCACCCTCCTGCCAAAATTCCCATCTCAACCTTTCAATAGAGCTCCCTGACTGTCCTAGCCTTGGCATTCTGAAAATCAGTGGCCTCATAGAAGCAGTCATTTCTTCTTCAGCCTTCTGCAGATCCCTTTTGGAACCAGCCCAAGAGGACCAAAGTAACTCACAATCCACGCACAATGTCAAACTCCCTACCTGCCCTCTCCTAAACTGATGTGGTTTCACTGTGTTGGAACAGAGGAATCCCTTGGCAGAGCAGAGTACCAGCTGCAGTGATCCCAGGTACTGGTTTACCTTGGTCATGGACAATGCTGTGGTTCTGGGCCAGCAGCTCAGTGCCTCTCTGCAAAGGCAGTGAGGACCATTCCTGACTCATGCTTTCTGTCAGAGATGGTCATCACTTCTGCTTTGTGGGCCAAAAGATGCCCAGCATTCTGCACCCCTGATCAGGTGTGGGCAGAAGTAAGGTTTACCCAGGGCAGGCAAGGAGGCTTCGATGTCCATGGGCTGCCATTGGACACCACCTCTGCATTGACCAAAACCCAGCTCCAGTACTGGCAGGACACACCATGGCACTGGCAGCTGCCCTCCTCTGAAGGACACTGGAAGCCCTATCCCTCTCCTCAGCCATTCCCTGCCCTGCTCCTGCCACAGCCACCCCTCAGACTTTGCCCCCACACACAAGGGCGCATGCAGGCGTTTTGCACCAACCTACAAGGATGAGCTGCGGGCAGGCTGCCGGTGCCTTCATTTTGCTGGCAAGACAGGCAGGAGCACTGAGAACAGCCTCAGTGATCTGCAGGTGACCTCCTGGGGGACGGCCAGGCACATGGGGGACCGTGGCCCCAGGGGCCCCCACGCCTCAAGTACTCACCCAGAGCAGTGATGGACACCGGGGTGCTCGTGTGCCGCTCCCCAACCATCTGCCACTCCCCATCCAGCGTCCGCGTCCACTCGGCCACCCGGCACTCATAGTGGCCCTCGTCCGCCTTGATGCTGTTGAAGATCTCCAGGGTGAAGGAGCCGGGGCGCACCTGCTCCACCTGGATGCCCCCGTAGCTGCTGCGCTCCGCGTAGGCGGGCCCGGGGTGCAGGGTGCCCTCCCGGTCCAGACGCACGATTTCGCTGCGCCGGTTCAGCTTGTCCACCAGCTGCCACGCGACCGACAGGCGGCTCTGGGGCCCCAAGCCCGAGCGCACGTTGCAGCCAAAGCGCAGGCTCTCTCCCTCCAAGACATTGGTGGCGTTGTTGATTATCTCCAAGGAGATGCTGGTCTCTAAGGGGAGAAACGCACACACACAGGGGAGATGACACACACTCGCCACTGCTCGGGCTGCTGGCCACAGATGCTTTCCACCAGCTGCAGGAGACTGCCCACATGTTTGGGTCCAGGCACGTCTTAACCTCACACGTGACCACATCCAAAAACAGCTGGTGGGCAGCGAGCTGCTCCTGGTGACTTGCACACTCAAGGCAGGTGTAGGCCAAAGCTGGGAGAAATCTCTGCCTGCGGCTCAGGAGACATTGCCGTGTCTTCTGGTCACAGGTCCGGGATGGGATCTCGGCAAAACTTGAGGGAATTTCTGTTGCTACAATATGCACTGCGTGCCAACTGGCTCTGCCAAAAAAAAAAAGCTTCCAGCACTCTGTGGCTTTTTCAATTCACGTCACCATGATCACCATCTTGCCACGTGCATTCCTACCAACAGCTTTTGGGAGAAGCTCTCCCAAACTCTCTCTTATAGGTAGCTATCACTGTTTGGTAATGTTCAAAAAACAATCTGGTATCTTGAGCTTCCCAGAGGTGTAAGGCTTTGTGGCTGGTTTTTCTGAGATACTGAGTGCTGGTTACTCCTGCTGCCTTCCATCACAGTTATGGACACTTAGCACCCTTAAAAAAAACATCATGTTTTTTCCTACAGCTGGTGATTTATCAAAGGCAATAATCAAATCTGTCTGAAAGGTGGCTGGGTCTAGAAACAACACGTTTTAGAAATTTGTCCAGTGCAAGATTTCCAGCTAGACTGATTTTCAAAGCCAAACAAATGAGACCAAATATTGGTAGGACAGAAAAGAAATGGAATTTCTTTTGGAGAAATGAGGAGGGGAAAAAAAAGCTAGAGGAAAGGGCTGTATTTCCCTACGAATCTCAGAGATAGAGGCCAGTAAAGCACAAAATCCTCTTGCAGCAACCCTCTGCTTGCTCCAAGCCCACTGCCACTCCACTGGTAGCCTGGGCAACCCATGCAAGGTTCACCATGCCATGGCCACCAGAGTTTCAGAGAGCAAAACAAGGAATGAGCCAGTGGAATCTCTCCTCTCAACCTGTTATTTCTGTATTTACCATGTTTCTCTCACAAATATAAAAGACATTCAAGGCAAGTCTCCAGCTGTTTTCACCAGAGCTGGCTGACACACAGTGACCAGGACTGAGCTCTGTGCTGAAGAGCACACCGGCTCCAGGAGCACACCTGGTTTCCTCCAGTACAGCTGTCTTAGAAGACAGCTGAATCACCATCACATAACAGCCTGCAGGAATCTAGCAGCTCCTAAGCCAAGCTGGTCTCCCCACTCTGCCTGCTGAGTACTTTACAGAGCACCCAGCTCCCTGCAGAGCAAGGCCAGGAGTGAGATGTGAGGAGCAAGTCACAGGCTGTCACATGTACCTTCAGCTCAGGAATGGAACAGCCAGCTTGGTGTCATTACAAGGTGGGGGCCTGACTCCCCACCTGTGAACCTGACACACACCCCTCCTTTTCATCCCCTTCCCAACAACAGAAATACATCTTGCCAGCAGGGATTCCAAGCCTGCACCGCACGTGAACTCCTATCCTCCCTCTCCTGTACTGCTGTGGTCTGGGCACATCACATCTTTCCCAGCTCCCTGCCCAGTACAGCAATGCCCTCAGGAGGGGATGGGCACGCCCCTACTTACTGAGTGGCATGACAGTGATGGGGATGTTCTTTGGCCTCTTGCTCTCCTTGTCGATGAAGTCTCCGGTCACGGTCTTCTCCCGCTCGGTCACGCGGCAGTTGTACTTGCCGCTGTCCTCCAGGCGCAGCCGGTAGATCTTCAGCACGAAAACGTTGTCGCTTTCCTTGGCCACCTTGAGCTGGCCCAGGGCCTCGCGCTGGGCAAACTCGTTGTTGAGCACCGGCACAGCGTTGGGGCCCAGGCTGGCGATGAGGGAGCTGTTGAAGGCCCAGGAGATGGAGAAGTAGCGGTCGGGGACGTTCTGCGCCTCCAGGATGCAGCGGAACTCCACCGGCTCGCCCACGATGTACATCCGCTTCTCCGTCTCCAGCCGCACGCTGAACTCCTTGTCTGGGGAGAGAGACTCGTGTCAGGATGGCAAAGCACACCACGACAGCCAGCACACCTCATGTCAGGTGCTCACAACTTGCTACTCCTTGTATAGCCAAGAGCACTCAGACAAGCACATCCAGAGGTGAAAAGTTAAAAAGACTTGTTTTTGCTGTGGGAGACCAGATGGGCTGTGCTCACACTGAGCCACCTTCTTGCCCATCAAGCAAAGACTTCCTCAGTCGCATCCCTGTCCTCCAGGTAGCAGCTCTGGAGCATCCATTACCACTGTGGAATAGGACCTGCTGCCTAGTCCTACTCTCACCCTGCTCAGCCAGAGTCAAGAGGCAGAATGTTAGGGGATATCCCAGAGGAACAAAGAGCTCAGCCAGGGTCTTTAGATCCTTAGCAGAAGCTGTGCAGGTGGCTTGGAGAAGAATTTTGACTTGTAAACGGACCTTGTGCCATACAAAAGCACCTGCTGAAATTTTTAGTTTTATTCCCTGCTGCATCACTCTTACCTCCTAACTTACCAAAATCCTCACTGCCTGTGCTAGCGCCAAGTGTTTAAGATGTATGTGTTAGCTTCTGTGCCAGCCCCAGATCCCTGACCACGTCAGGAGACAGGGCTTGCCACCCAAGCCCCTTTGCTGACACTTCCCTTGGCTGCAGGCACTGCCTGAGCCCTCCTTTGCCCTGTTTCACCCTGCCAGCAGCCCCCCCAAGTGAGGCACGTGGCAAAACAGGGAGCCAAATCCCAGCCACCTAACACAGCACAGCCCCATTTTGCATCTCCTCCCACTGCCCAGCCCAGGGAGAAGAAGCAGAAGAGACACTGACCAGTGGCTTGCACGTTGATGATGGCGCCCTGGGAGCGCTTGCGGGTCATGGCGTACCAAGAACCATCCGGGTCCTGGATCCACTCCGCTGCCTCGCAGTAAAACTCGCCCTGGTCTGAGGGGTGCAGGTTGTAGATGGTGAGCTTGGAGGTGGTCTCCCCAACCTTGTCCAAGCGCACATCCCCCGTGGCCTGTCGCTGGGCGTAGGCGCTGCCGGCCCGCAGCACGAAGTCACGGCTCAGGGAGATGATCTCGACGGGCACCTCGCTGCCGCGCTGCCGGTACCACGCGATGGAGACGTGGCTGTGCTGGGCTGTGCTCTTGGACACCTCGCACTTCAGCTCCAGGGAGTCGTGCTCCACCTTGTTCAGCGTCTGTGGGATCGCCGTCACCCGCAGCGAGTCCGGGATCACTGCAGCAGAGCAGGTACAAACAGCCCAGAGTTAGCCACGCCAAAATGCTGAGGGCAAAGGCCAAACACCTTAAGAGAGCTGGGGGAGAAGTTTCTTTTCACAATTACAATTAAATACTAATTGTGTTAACTCACATTTAGCCTCTAGAAGAAGAGAATTGTCCCCAATGCCCTTGGCTGGGAAAGACCATGACCTGCAGCACAAACTCCAAGCGTGGTGCTTAAATTCCTGCCCAGTGGGCCCCAGCAACTGAACAAGGTTTTCCATCATGCTGCAGAGCAGCACAGTTTATTGCATCCATTTCCCATCAAGGCATTTTGTCACAAGGAGTCTCTCCTTCATCATGTGCCCCCCAGCATGTTCTGTGACCCCCTCTTGCCCCCATCCTTCAGCCTCACCTCAGCCCTGGTATGGTCTTCATCCTTCCTCAGTCACTGGTGGGGCCAAGCCAAACATACCCAGTTCCTTTAATCTTCCCTTATAAAAAAGTCAGGAGATCCAATTCCCTTCTCCATAGTTTATATTGTTTCTTCTTTTAATGACCCCCTCAGGCCAAAGGAAAGGGTTTCTGCATTCAGAGGGAACTGGCTCCTCTAAGGACAGCAATACAATTGCATCGTGACCAGTGCTCACTCCCAGGACACAGCCAGCTCAAGGCACTTGGTAGTAAAACTGCTGGCTGCTTTTCCACTTGATTAACTAGAGGAAAGGAAGTAAAGCTGCTAAAATCAGGATGAAAACCAAAAACTGCAGCCCTCCAACCCTGCTTGGATTTAGAGAGAGGTTTTACCACCAGAAGATGGGATTTTTTAATAAAGAAGCCTTCTAGACTTTGCTGTCTCAATGAAAATCACGTGGAAAGAAGAATGTAAACCTTCTTCCCAGCTCTGCAGGCAAGGCAGTGTTAGTGAGCCTGCTAATGCCCACGGTTTTGCCACATACCAGTGGAATATAATTAACATATCTCAGTTTGGTTTCATTGACAGCTCTGGATGGTTCGACAAAATTAGCTGAGCTGCCAGAAGCTGCATCTGTTCCATTCAGGCACTGCTACAGAGAGCAATGAGCTGCAGTGAAGACAACCACTGGGATTATTTATGGCAGAAAAGTCAAAATCAGAAGAGGGCAAAGAAAAAAAGGAACAAGCTGGGAGTAAATGAGAGGGAAATCTTCCCACATCCAGTCCAGATGGGAGCATTTCCTTTTACTACATGTTCACCACCCAAGTTACTGCCTGCCATGAAAAATACCTTGTAAGGCTGCTTACACTGCAGGTCATTGTCTCTGTCCCTTTCACCACCACATCTTCTACTCCCTCCCTTCCCCTCATCTCTCTCATTGGAACCCCAATTCCCTGCTCACTGGCAATAGTTTCTGGCCAGGATCCTTCTTACCTCACCTTTCCCCTTATCCTGACTCCCAAACAGTGGCGACAGCAACAACCAACCTTGCCAATTCACTGTACAACAAGCTTTAAACGTCTCATTTCAAACCTTACTGAGTAATTTTCACACATGCACAGCTCCCTTCTCTCTGCCCTCCAGCCATGGGCTCTTACAACTTCTCCTATGTTATTTAAATAAATTAAGCCTCATCATCAGCTTGCTGGAGTGACTTTCCCGAGGAGATGCTTTGAATGCAGAGCCTCTGTGCAACAGTTTATGGGGTGAAAGCAGGTACCTGTGAAGGACATGTGCCTGTCCTTCTCCCCTGGTCTGAGAGCCCTGTGTGCCCCCCAGCCCTGCTCAGCAGCACAGCTGCTCCCTGGGTAAGCACAGGGAGCTGCTGACCCCAGGAGCCTGTCTGGCTTTGCAGGACAAGCCAGGTCATGCTCCAAGAGGGGACAAGCACTTGGCCTGTCAGACATGGAACTGCCCACTTCCTGGGAGTAATACAATCCTGTCTGAAGACCGGGTCTCAGGCAAGCACTTCCACACCATTCCCTGAGCAGGCTGCAGGCTAGCACAGACATCATTTTGCCAGCTGGAACCATGACTTTGTATTTCCAGGTCATAACCCAGCTGGAGGGTTAGCATCCTTTATCCCACACAGGCATGTTTTTGCAAAGTGCACTCCTGGAGAAAAGTCAGGAGGTGTCAGCGTGTGGTTAACGCTGTAATTTAACTGTGGCAACACCTGACACACTGTGCTGCATTCCTCCTGCTACTTTACTGAAAAAAGCCAACCAAGATCCTCCTGGTTAGAGGAACTGGTGAGACCTTTTGGGTTGCACACAGCCTTCAGGCTGTTGTTTTACGTCAGCATGGCAGGGACAGATATTCAGTCAGTGCCACCTTCCTAAGCAGGAGGACTTGACACTTGCTTGATAAATGACAGCCCAGCTTCTCAAGGATCAGATGATCAGGGAGGAACAAGACAGAGCCCTGAGGTGGCTGGGACAGCAGAGAGGCTCTGTGCTTCACACCATCACTCTCATTCTTGGCCAGTGATGCACAAACAGCTGTTTTATTTACACTGTAAGATGTGCCTCGGTGCTGTGCTCAGTCAGGGGGAAGGTGGCAGGAGAAGAGAAAATGCAATTCCCAAGGCACAGACCCCACCTGCCTGCACCAACAAGGGGTAGCTGAGAGGGGACCTCATCAATGTATGCCAGTGTCTGAAGGGCAGGGGTCAAAGTGGTGCTGAGCAGTAGGAGGAGAGAAACATGAGGAAACACTTCATTTCTGTGAGGATGCCAAGAGCACTGAAACAGGCTGCCCAGAGAGGCCGTGGAGGCTCTTTCTCTGGAGATACTGAAAAGCCTTCTGAACACAACCCTGAGTAATGTGCTTTGGGGCACCCTGCCCAAGCAGGGAGACTGGACTAGATAATTTCAGTGGTCCCCACCAATCTCACCCATTCTGTGACTCCATGTGACAGGAGAGCTACAGGCATGGCTTAGCCCATCAGGCTGGAGCAGACTAGGGCTGCAAGTCACAGAGAAAAAAGGGAACACCAGGAAGGTGCTCACAAGGGCAGGACAGAGCATGCAGGATGTGGTTTCTCAGAAGAGAAGCTCCTCCTGCTCAGGTGGCAAAGACATCAGTTTGCATTTCAGGACATGAGTGAGTCTCAGCACAGAGCCCACCTGGGAGCTGCCAGCCACCCACACTCATCCTGCAGCCACCTGCCACAGGAAGCACCAGGGCTTCTGGGGACACTCTGCAAGCTGAGCTCCACCTGAAAGCAAGGACAAGCTCAGATGAGAGTCAAAGGGAGCAGAGCCACACCTGAATCAGAGCCAAGTGAGATGCTGCAGGACACATCCTTCTGCTCTTTCTTTCGCACCCAGGTCCTGCCTGTTTCTCCTCTCTTCTCTTCTCAATGTGCCATCCAGGCAGCCTTCTCTGCACTTCCCCCAGCATCCAGCCTTGCTTCCTCCTTGTCCCCAACCACAAGTCCATCCCTGCAGCTGTCATGACCCCCTGCAAGTGTCAGTAGAATTCCCTTCTCTCCAGCATCAAGGTAAGGTTTGGCAGCAAGCAGCTGGACAAGGAGAGGAGTGACTGAAAAGCAATTCCTGGCAGCAAATCCACTGCACTATCATCCCTGAGCCAGTCTCAGTTGACAGCTTTGACCTTGTACTTACAACCCTTCAGAGCAGGGAATACAGCATTTCCTGTGAGTCCCCAGGCCACTGGTCACTACACAGGGTGCTCACAACCACCACCACGTTTTGAAAGCTCCTGAAATATTGAATATAAATATTTCCACTAGAGGGTGTCAGGGACTCAGCCAGGGAGAGTCCCAGGAGGAGGAGCTCAGAGCTGCTCCCCATTGGCCAGGGCAGCCCTCCTCAGGAAGCCTGCACACCCAGCTCCAGTCAAACAACCTCAATTGCACACACCTCAGTAACACATGATCAGTGAGAACCCAGTGAGCTAATTATGGCTAATTTCAGGACAAGGAGCTGGCTTACAGTCTCCCAGAAAACAGGCAGGGAGCAGAGACTGAAGTTCCCAGGTGTGCACACCTCAACACACTTTTCTCCAAGCCCCAGGACAGGCTCCAGGCTTCCAGCAGCTCCCAGTGCCATGCTGAACTCTACCCACACACACAAGGATGATCCAGGTGTCTCACCTTTCCTCAGGCTGGCTCTGGTTCATCCCTGGGTCTCCAAAACCCCAAACATCTCCAAGGGGTGGGTTATGAACGCTTTTATGAGCCAACACAAAGCAGAGATCTACCAATGTTTTATCTACTCCCAGGCAAATAGCAAAGCTGCCTGAGACTCCCTTTCCTTGCTAAGAGATGCAGGAGGAGCATCAGGCTGGGAGCCAGAGGCTGGGGAAACAATGCTGTGAAAATCACTTAGCACCACAGCAGCCTTACACTTCAGGCTCTTCAGGAGTAAAACAACTTAGACAGGCTACCCAACACAGCTGGACCATCTCAGGGCCCCTGCAGAACAAGCAAAACCCAGCAATCTCTTCTTCCCTCGGATTTCCTTATAGCTTTTACCCACTGAAACACTTCAGAGACACTCTGTGGTGCCACCCAGTGCCCCATGCTGCCTGCTTTATGCCACCTGGGCAGAGCTAAGCTTACCAAGTATCAGGTGTGAACTATTTAGGAAGAACAAACACATGTATTCTCTACCCCTAAGAAGCTGTTTCTGGCTAAGACATACACCCTGGATTTTGCAGGGAATTAGTGCAAAAGATATCTTTCCATCTGCCCCACACCTTGTTGCCCCATAGGGATCACAGCTCAACACCAACAAACCTTCCAAAACAAGATGCTCAAGGGGAACAGCAATGCCAGAGCTACCCTGTTGAAACCAGAGGGAATGGCAATGAGGGTGGGAATATGAGGAACAGATCACAGCACTTTGTTATCAGACTCTGCAAAATCTGCTAACCCTTCTGTGGCCACCAAGCCACCCCAGGGAAGGAGGGAGGGTCTGCCACCAGACACAGGAGCAGATGAAGGGCTCTGTTTTCTCCCTAGCAGCTCTCAGGCATCCACACAGTTCCTCACATCCCTCCCCCACAGCACT